TAGTAGGGGATAGGAAAGGTAGCAGAATACAACAGTCACTTATATGCCATTAGGTAAAAATGTGAGTGTGTAACTGATGTAATTCTGCAATTTGTACTTCGGGTAAAAATGGGAGTTCATAACCCAMTTGAGTCAAATGTATGAAAGATGATATATCATGAGCTTTGTAATGTTTTGAACAACCAATAAAAAAWTTTTTTTCAGYCCCCACAATGACTTATGTTTTGTGTAAATAGCTGATTTGGATTTTTTTATTTATTAAAATTATTCCAAATATTTGTCTAAAATTCTGTAGGAGAGAAAATCAGAAACTAAACACTACCAGCTTAGAAAATCACCTTGACACCAATGTGAGACTAAATACAAACTTAAGAAGATCACAACCAGTATACTAGTGTACCAGAATATTCATATGCTTGTTTCTTTTATATGAGCGTCAAAATGAAAATTCCAAATTAAAAAGTTCTACATTATAAGGCAATTTGATGACAGTTATATAGATTTTTGAAACTTTGCCTCTAGATTTTAGCTATTTTTCTCCATGCCCTGCTATCCAATTTGTCAGCAAGTTCTACTGGCACTACTGCCAAAATATTTCCAACATCTGGGACATTCCACATTCTTCAATGCTACATCTCTATTCAAAACTCTATCTTTTGTCAGGAAAGCTGCATTGTCTTCCTAATGGGTATTTCTCTTTCATTCTTGCCCCCTAAAGGCTTTGTTATATAGCAGTCATTTTATTTATTTTTTGCAGTGCTAAGTCTTGAACCCATGGTCTTGCTTTCTACCATTGAGTGAGATCTTCAGCCCCTAAAATATATATATTTTTAAATCATGTAAATCCCTAGCTTAAAATTCACCAGTGGTTTCCCACCTTACTTGGAATAAATTCCAAACTCTGAATTGGCCTGTCTGCTCATTGCTGAACTTTCTGATTTTTCTTTCCCTCTACATTCTTCCTTATTTATCATGCTACACCCACACTGGCCTTATTTCAGAACCTTGATATCATGAGGTTATTCTTATCTCTGGACCTTGATATTCAGTGTTCATTCAATTCACCTTGTTTTCCTCCTATTTCTTTATATGCCTGCCTATTTATTACTCAAATACTAATGATATCTCCTCAGAGATGCCCTCCCTGAAAATGTAACTAAAACATCTTTACCATGCCACATCACTCTTTACTATGCTCTTTTTAATTGACTTTTCAAGTCTGACCAGTAACTGATATTATCTTAATTATTTGCTTATTGTCTATTGTCTTTTTCCTAACATTTGGAATCAAGTTCCTTAAGAGCAGGGCCATGTCTGTTTTGTTCACTGTTATATCTTCAATGTTTAAGCCAATGTCAGGCACACAGTAGGTTCGCTGAATATTTGATGGTTTATACACCCTTTTATCTTGAAACATTACTCTTGAAGAAGAAACCAACTGATCTTCCCATTTTATAGAAAGAATGAGAGGCACAAAGAGGAGAAATAATTTGCCTAAGTGAAAGATTGATCTTATATTAGAATTCAGGTCCTGTGATTTCTAGTCCGTTGTTCAAAACTGTCTGATAAAATCACTCTTAACAACAGTACAAGACTGAGTCACTGCCACCACTTCCAGGATAACAACTTAACATTATGAGGCAGTTTGGAAATATCTCCTGACATTGTCAATAATCTTCAGCTAGTTCTGGTACTGAAACAACAATTTTGCTGTAAATTGAGAATCTTAAAACCAGTTGTTTCATATATGACTTTTATTCTAATAATTCTCAAAAACAACTAAGAATGCAGGCCTCTCAAATGATTTCACATCTCTCAAACCATTATTCTAAACATTCTTCACTTGGGCGTATTTTTTTCCATTTCTACTGGTCCCAAGGACACTGTTTCTAATTCTTCTGCAAGAAATCTACTTATATTCCCCAACTGCTCTCATTCATTTACTCTAGCAAGGCAGAGTGGCTCACATACCCCTAAATTAAGCACCTAGATAAGTTCAAAGGACTCAATATGGCTCAGAGAGTAAGTGACATCTAAGTTGATATTGAATAATTAATAAGAAATACCCAGAAAAACTGGGAAGAAGACAGTAGGAGAAAAAGGTAGGAAAAAAAAAAAAAAGAAGTGAATGGCAGGGGAAAAAGTATGCCTGAAGGCCTGGAGCTAAGAAACACTTCAGATCCTAACATCCCTAGAAGTTCTCGGAAGCCTCCATTGATTTCTTCCATCTGATTTAGGTGTTCTTTTTTTGTATTTCTATCTATAGAACTCTGTAATTCATTTATCAGGAATGTATAATCAATGTTTAACTTATCATTCCCCACTGGATCATGAGACCCAAAATGGTAGGGATAAGATAGTACGTGCCTATTAGTGTCTCCTCAGTCCCTAGAACAGTGGCTAGACTCAGTGGGCACTTAATAAATACTTATTTAATAATGARTGGAAGAATGAATAAATAAATGAACTTCATTTATAAAAAATTTACAAAGCTCTATAAATCATTTTGTATGAGTTAAATAATTTTGTTTTCTATATTGAAAGCATCTCAGATGTACCACTTTAAACTATATCAGCAAAACAGTAAATTTTTTTTCTTTTAAAAAATTTATTAGTTCATTTTAATATTATTATATATTACAGTTAATTTTGACATAATTATACAAGCATGTAATATAAGTTGCTCTAATTCAGTCCCCGGGACTTCCCTTCCCTAAAACAGTAAATATTAACTCTATTATTTATCCTGAAAGTATTAATTCTTTAAGGCTTATTTTCTTTATAGTGACAAAATCTAAATAATAAACTTTACCATGATATCGTTTCCCTTTGCTTTGATCAAACAGCTTTTCAACTTTTTTTATTAGTTCATCTCTAATTCTTTCCAGATATCTTCTTTCTTCCTTTACTTGTTTCATTTGCTCAATAATCTTCTCTCCTAAAGAAATGTAATCCATAGTCATCAATGCCAAAAAGCTAAAATGGTTCATGTCATAAAATATGGAGTCTAAAACAGCAAGAATAAATTTTACCCAAAACTCTTYTGTTTTTCTTGCTGCCATTTACCATTCTGGAGAGTGTAAAAAATCTTTTTGATTTATAAGAGTGGATTTATAAAACAGTGGCTCTCTTTTGCATTTATATGCATGTATTTGTAGAAATTAGGTAAAGCTCAAATAGTTATATTTTTTGGTCTAATTCTTTTGTTAAATTTATCTTGGGCCCAAAGTTATTTTATGTGGAAAAATATATTTTAGAGTTAATTAGTGACTAAAATACAAAATTTATATAATTTCACATTTATTGTAGTAAAATATACTTAATAAAATTTACTATTTGAACCATTTTARGTGTTCATATCAGTGACATTAAGTACATGTATTCCCACTGTTGGGCAACCATCACCATTGTCCATCTCCAGAACTCTTAACCTTCACAAACTGAAACTCTGTACCCATGAAACAACTATTTAACTTTACTTCACAGAATCATCTATACTTGTGATGTCACAGTACTTACTCTCGATCTTTAATAGAGGTATATCAGGTATTCCTGAAGAAAGAACAGGTTGACAAGGAAAATCAGTAAGGTCTGGTAGGGTGATGCAATCCTTTTCACCTGTCTGTAAGAAAACATGAAAGTCAATAAAATCTTGTAAGGTATACATTCTTTTTCCATTTGTCTATAAGTACTATGTAATGCATACCAGCAATACTTTTTTATTATTAGTTGTTCAAAACATTACAAAGCTCTTGACATATCGTATTTCATACATTTGATTCAAGTGGGTTATGAACTCCCATTTTTACCCCGTATACAGATTGCAGAATCACATCAGTTACACATCCACGTTTTTACATACTGCCATACTAGTGTCTGTTGTATTCTGCTGCCTTTCAATACCTGTTTTTTAATACAATGATGAACTCCCAGATTTTCACTCAGGCTCCAGTCTCTCCATTCCATTATTATACAAACATTATGTACAGACATTCAACCAAAAAATATATATATTTAAAAAGAATCCATTATTTTTCTTTCCAAACATKACTTCTTTCCAAGATTTCTGGCCTCAGTTACTTGACATAACTTAAGTTTTGTGAGGTGGCTATTGATTTTTTTCATCTTGAGTCAATTTTGGTATTTGCTTAGAAAAATTAGTGATTCTGTCACATTTTTAAATGTTAGCATAGAATTTTACATTTTATTCTCATATACTTATCTCTTTTGTGTTTGTACTTATATTGATTTCATCTTTCCTAATTTTTGTGATTCTACTCTTTTTAATAAGCTGCCTCAAGCTATTGCATATTGACGTTTCTCCCACTACTACTTTATAGATCTTGATTTTTTTCAATTTTGCTAGATTTTTAATTTTTTAAAATTAAAAATTTTTATCTTTTTTTCTATTTTTAACTTCAAGATCTAACTCCTTTTTGTTTTATACTTTTTCTAGATTATTTTATTTTATTARGTTATAGAATATAGTTCCCATAGGATAAAGGAAACTACCTAAATTAGAATTTCTCTATACATATTTCCAACTACCCTAAGGAAAGCAAATGAAACCAACCACAACTTATGCCTACAGCATGGAATACAGAATCCTTCAATTTACACGTACTTGGGGAAATAGGACCCTAAACTAGAGTGTGGGCAGGAGCTCACAGATGAGCAGAGTCAGATGTAGATTTTCTATAGGGAGTACTACACATAGATAACATAGGAAATATCAGGAAGGAAAGACCCCACTGGAGCAGAGAAGTACTAAGAACAAGGAGATGACCTATAGATCACAGTACTTTCTATGAGGGCCCAAAAGAAAGGGCCTAAAAAATGTAGGAGACCAGAGGTAATAATCATGGGAAGACAGTTTCTGAGAGAAAGGAAAAAGCTTTGGATGGGAGAGGTGTCTCTTAAGGGGTTAGTAGATAAGAGAAAATAAGAAAATGTCCAAGATAAACTCTCCATTGATAAGCTAGTATGAAAGAATAAAAAACAATACAAAAATCAAAACCAGACCCCTTCCTCAAAAGGCAATATTTACAAAAAGGAAAGAATTGCATTTCACTATAACAACAGAAGAGGGTGCTCCTGATCTAAGAAACTAAATAGATCATAACTTCCTAAGAATACCTGTTAGTATTCTAACAGAAAAATCAMGTAAATCAATAAACATGAGCCATCCACAAAATAATCTAGGATCCAGAGAGTTACTTATGAAGGAAACCTAAAAATTGAGGGTTGAAATCAAAACAAAAACAACCTGGAAGAAGAGAAAAAATTGACATTACCAATGTATATTAAATATAATTAATCAAGCATTTGCAGATATCAGTAAACACCATAAATTTTTTTTTAAAGAGGGGCTGTGCAATTCAGTGGAAGAGTGCTTGCCTGGCGTGTGTGAGGCACTGGGTTTGATCCTCAGCACCATATAAAAATAAATAAGATAAAGGTTTTGTGTGTGTCTACAACTAAAAAAAAAAGTTTTTAAATTTTAAAAAGAGAATGAAAACAACAGGAGAGGTGAGGAGATTAGACTGTAAGGATAGTACAAAATATCATATTCTTAAAGTGGAAACAACACAACTAAAAATAAATTCAAAGGAAGGAAAAAAGGTAAAAGTGGAGCAAGTCTTTTGATTACCCCAAATATAGTAAGCAGAAGTCAGAGCATAAATTTAGAGGTAATAAGTCAAAAGAAAAAGCATACATTTTTAAAAAGAAAAAATGAAATACCAAGAATACCAGTATAAAGGTAAACACTACAGTAAAAATTCAAAACTTCCTAAATGCCAGAAGGAAAAATAAAAAAGCAAACATGACACAATAACTATAATCTAAAACAAAATGACAATCGAATGTATGAAATATGACATGTCAAGAGTTTGTAATGTTTTGAATAACCAATAAAAAATAAAAGAAAAATAAAACAAAATGACATATCTAAGACCAAACATATCAGTCCTATTAATAACTTAAATGGATATAACTCATCTAAATAAAGATTTTTTAGATGGTTCACAAAATAAAATCCAACTTTATATACAAGAGAGACACCCAAAACAAAGTGATTCAGAAAGGCTGAAATAAAGAGGAGGGTGAGGAATGAGAATATAGCAAATAAATGCAAAAAGAAAKCAGATTATCTCAATATTCAATAAATAATAATTCAGGCCAAAACCACATTACTGATATATTATTTCAAAATGAAAAGTAATAATACATACAAATATATTTTTAGAAATCACAAGAAATGCAAGGATATTTAGTCGTGGTACTTAAAGGAGAATCTAAGATATTGTTCTCAGTCTAAGAGAGAGAATGTAGAAAAAATAAGTAAGAATGTCAAATATCAGCAAAGTAGAACACAGACAAGCCACAAAGTAGGAAAGGAGATATTTATAAAACAGGTAAGTAGCAAAGTTCTATCTTTTAGAGTATATTTAAAATTCCTACAATATATTTAAAACTGCCTGTCTCCTAAATAGCAGAGAACCCAATAGAAATACTTGATAGCTCATTAAATTAAAGTTATCAAAATGGGGTCAGTAAAATACAAAAAGATGATCAAATTCATAGATAACCAGAGAAATGTAAACCACAGTGAAATAGAATTAAGTGCCCACCAGATTTCCTGTAATTTTAAAGTGTGAAGACAGCATGTGTTATTGAAGATGTAGAGAAACAGAAAATCTCTTGGATTCCCAGTCAGAGTGTAAATTTGTACAATTTTGGAACAAAATTTGGCATGATTTAATTGCTATAGATAGGCTTTTCCCAAAATTCTAGACATATATATATTCCTCTCTTGTCTGTACTGTTGATAATAGGTTCAAGTTGGAAACAATGCAAACATTCATCAGCAATAGAATTATTAACTGATGGCATGCCTTTGCTCCAAAATCCAAGGGATCTGAGCTGTGATTGTCCTACCGGGATTTGTACAGACATTCTTCTGTGTATCTATCTAGTATTATTGAATTGAACATTAAAACACAAGTGGCAACATTGCTTGCAGGGTCTCTTGGATCACCATGCAAGTTTTTGTCTTGTTTGAGTACTCTCAGTTTGCTACTACTCAGTCCTATTCAGTCTTCAAAATTAGAGAAGGAGGAGGAGGACGAGGGGGAGGGGAAGGGGAGGGGAGGGGGAGGGGGAGGGTTTAGAGCAGCATATCCRAATGCTCCAAATTTCTCTCCAAATTCTGAAAGTGATTATCAAGTGTTTTGTCTCATTGTCAATGGTACCTGGGACAAAGTACAAAAGCCTGCTTTCACTTTAAAGGAGATAGCTCAACAAGTCTCTACTCATGGACATCCAGAAAAATTGGTAAGATCATGAATTTTTTTCCACATTTTTTATTGGTGTATTATAGTTGTATCTAATGGTGAGATTTGTTGTTACACATTCACACATGTACACAATATAACAATGTAATCTGGCCAATACCATTCTCCAGTATTTGTCCTTTCCCTGGTCTCCTCTCTCTCCCTGGCCCCTCTATTCTCTCCTTTACTGATCTTCTTTCAATTTTCATGAGATTCTCCCCCACCACCTTTCTTTTCCTTTTTCCTCTCTAACTTCCACAGATTAAAGAAAACATAGAACCCCTGATCTTCTGATTTTGGCTTATTTAACTTAACATAATGGTCTTATGTTCTCCATTTTCCTGCAAATGATATTATTTTATTCTTCTTATGGATGAATAAAACTCCAGTGTGTATATATACCACATTTTCTTTTATCTATTCATACATTGATGGTTGATACCTAGGCTGGTTCCATAGTTTGGCTATTGTGAATTATGCTACTATAAACATGAGTATGCATGTATCCCTATAGTATGATGACTTTTAATTCTTTAGGATAAATACCATATGGTGGTTCCATGCCTAATCTTTTGAGGAAACTTCATACTGATTTCCACAGTGGTTGTACTAATTTACAGTTCCACCAACAATGTAAAGTGTTCCTCTTTCTCCATTTCCTCGCTAGCATTTATACTTTTTGTATTTTTGATGGCTGCCATTCCTACTGGAGGGAGATAAAATCATAATGTAATATTGATTTGCATTTTCCCAGTTGATAATGACATTGAACATTTTTTCATATATTTGTTGGCCATTTGTATTTGTTTTTTGGAGAAATGTCTGTTTAACTCACTTGCCCATTTATTTATTGGATTATTTGTTTTGTTGATGTTAAGTTTTTGGAGTTCTTCATATATTCTGAATATTAATCCTCAGAGTCAAAAGAGTAACTAGCAAAGATTTTTCCCATTCTGTAGGTTCTCTATTCACATTCTTTTGCTGTGAAGAAGCTTTTTAGTTTGATGCTATCCCATTTATTAACTCTTGCCAATATTTCCTGAGTTTTAGGGATCTTATTGAAAAAGTTGTTCCTATGCCTATATGTTGGAATGTTGACCCTATATTTTCTTCTAGAAGTTGCAGAGTTTCTTTTATAATTCCTAGGTCTTTGATCTATTTTCAATTGATTTTTGTGCCAAGTGAGAGATAAGGGTCTGGTCTCATTCTTCCACATATGGATAACCAGTTCTCCCRGTACCATTTGTTTAAAAAGCTGTCTTTTCTCCAATGTATGATTTTGGCATCT